TTTCTTTCGAAATGTCTTTCTTTTGAAAACCTTTTACCATTTCCTTAGTTTGAGTTCAGACACATTCAATGTGTATCCGAATCCCTCAAACCAAGGCTCTGATACCAACTTGTAACATCCCAAAAATCACAACTAAAATTTTCTTTTTAAAACATTACTAAAAACCATATTCATAAAAATCGTAACATAAATCATAACATAATTTCGTTGCATTAATTCGAAATGCAACTTATTATCAGAGTAGAACATCCCAGGCTAGCTGACTATGGTGTGTGCACTGTAATCTTTCCGAGCTCCTCTTTTGAAAACTGAGTACCTGAAACCAAAAACTAAACTGTACGCACGAAGCTTAGTGAGCTCCCCCAAACTACCACATACCATACAATAACATATAAAGCACATACTGGGCCTTGCCCACTGCATCGGACCGAGGTTCGGACTAACTGGGGCCTTGCCCCCTGCATCGGACCGAAGTCCGGAAACTGACTGGGACCTTGTCCCCTGCATCGGACCGAAGTCCGGACTAACTGGGGCCTTGCCCCCTGCATCGGACCGAAGTCTGGAAATTGACTGGGACCTTGTCCCATGCATCGGACCGAAGTCCGGATTAACTGGGGCCTTGCCCCCTGCATCGGACCAAAGTCCGGAAACTGACTGAACATAGCATAGCATAACATATCAACTAGCATAAACACATATACTGCATACTGCATCGAGCCGTTGCCCGGAACACATAACACATAACACATAAATCCTGTCTAAACCACGAAGGCATCAGACATACTAACTACTGCATCGGACTGAAGTCCGGAAACTACTGCTAACTGAACGGGCCGGCATTGATCGACTCGCCGAGTCACCTCGATCGACTCGCCGGGTCGGTCGCTTACACCTCAACGCGGATCCCGCTCGGACTCGCAGAGTCCCTCCTTGGACTCGCCGAGTCTCCCCTTAAAATTGGGGTTTTCTTTCTTTTCTTGGCTTTCCGAACTTTGGGTGTTACAACATATGTGCGTAAAATGAATTTTACAATATAATTAAGGGTTTAGGTCATTTTTGATCACTTAACTTTTGGTTTTGTGCTCATTTGGTCACTTAACTCTTTTTAAGTTTTAAAAAGTCATCAAACTTTTGGCTTTGAGCTCATTTAGTCACTTAACTTTTGGTTTGGTCACATTTAATCACCTAACTTTTAAAATTGTACTCATTTAGTCACTAAACTTTTAATTTTTTTCAAAAGTTTAGTGACTAAATGAGCACAATTTTAAAAGTTAGGTGACTAAATGAGCACATGATCAATGCACGAATGAATTAGTTTTACTAAATGATTATTCTTTTGATCATAAAGTTTAGTCAACTTAGGAATCGGTAAGCAACAATCAACTAAATCCATTGCACTATTCCAAGAAATCAACCATCAGAATATTGTGAATTGAATTTAAACGAAAGTCTCATTAATATTTGGTCTTAATCCTTAACTTGAATTGCTTGTGTTAGTTTAGTGGTTTTTGGTAATAGTAGTTTTAAGTTTATAGACTTGCAAAACTAGAAAAACCCTCTCTTTAATTAATTGATTGAATTAATGAACATTTAGTAGTATTTAGCTGATATTTATGTTTCTTGTGTTCGATACCCTACTTACCTAAACTATCCTGCTATCTGATTAGGTACACCACCTATTAGGTATTAGTTAGTCTAGATTAGTAGGTTTATTACTTATTACATGAAATACGTATCATATTAATATGATTATTAGTAATTAAATTCAACTCTTGTATTTAATTAGAGAATAGTTATTGTTTTATGAAAATAATAATAGAATAAAAAACCAAACTAGTTATTAGATCATATGGTATGATTAATAATTCATATACAAATATTTTGGGTACATTGGTCACTTTATGACTCAACTAGTTGGTTAGATAAACTAGACAACTTTTTTTTTGTCTCTTTTACCCTCACTTTGGATGCCACTTTCACAAGATATTGGAGGTTGCTTGTCAACCTCCCCCCTTTGTTCCCCATGCTTGGTATCTAGTCATTACTTTACATTAGTTTGTATAGCCTTTTTGACTTGCATGGATTATATAAAAACGTGTGTTGCTTTCATGAAAGCTAATCTTTTTCCCTTCGAAGAGCTCCAAAACCATAGCTTTCTTTCTTCCCTTCCTTTAGATTTTCTTTTGAAGTTTGTTGCAAGTGTCGGTGTCTTCAATTTTTTCTCTTTTAGTGTTTATTTGAGATAAACAATTAAAGGCTTAAGAAGTATTTCATACAAGATGAGAACTAACATTTCAAGTGCCTTACTCTTGATGGTGGATACATTGTAGAGAAACTATTTCTTGAGTTTTTGTTATCTTCATCAACATCCCAATTCCAAGTGGGATCAAAGACTATAAAGGTTATCTTCTTAACTTACTATGGTTGTTATTATCTTTCAAGTTTGTGTATTTGGATCCCCTTGGTGGTTTTGTTAAAATGATCTAAAAAAAAACTAGTTATTTTAAAAGTATCCTATTTGTCGTTAATTTTTTTTTTATAAAAATGATCATTTTTGTTATCAAAGCCCATCAAGTATGTCAATATTATCTTTGTTGTGAAGGACTATAAGAATTTGATGTGGGTTACACTTGGGTCCGATAGCATATTTTACCGGACAACGAAAGCAAAGGGCTTCTTCTCTTCTTCTATGAAAAGTTGCTAGTGAGAGTCTAGTGAAGGATATGGTGTTGTTGGGTTTTGGTGGACCAGTTAAGAGGGGTGGTTTATTGAATACTAATTGGATGGTTAATGGTGGAGTGGTGGTGGGATGGGTGGTTGTGTTATTGTTAGAAAATATAAGCATTATGATGGTTGGTATGGAGGATGGTTCATAGCTAATTTATCTTTGATTAACTTGGCAAATCCATATGCTTAGTGAAGGGATTGAGGGTTATGTAGGGCAGTTTCAGTTTGAATGTCATGTTGGAGCTCGAAGATCAAGCTTGTGCTGAGAGACCCGTGATAGAGTTAATAATCTTCTCAAACTTCGCTTGTGAGGCGGCTACGATTGTGGCTTGGTAGAGTTTGAAGAGTGTAGCTTGGTGATTTTAAAGGACGATGGCCCAAATTGTGTTTCTAAAACTTGTGAAAATTCTTTCCATGATCCTAATAAGTTATTGCTGGAGAGGTGCTTGTAACAAATAATACCATCGTTGGTGAAGTAGAACACATACAGTGAGACTTATTATTGAGGTGGTATGTGAAATAATTATTGGATTGGAAAATCCAATTCATTGTGTTTGTTCCGTCGAAGGTTGTAATTAAGGGGTATCTTTGGGGTCTTGGAGTATTGTCGGTGGGTGGAGGTTGTATGGGTTTATCATATTTGGGTAGGTGAGTTAGAGGTTTCCGGTTTGGAGAGGGTGATGATGAGGTTGACATTCTCTGTTTTAGCGATTTGGACATTGATAGTGTCATTATTCGTTTTGTTATGGACCGAGGAATTGGTGGTGGTCATAAGGATTTGATATAATAATTTCTCTAACATGGCAAATATTGTTTCTTCTACGTTTGCGGTTTCTTTTTGTAGAGGCATTAGGAGAACGGGGAATGAAAACACCAAATGATAGAGCCCTGTTAAGATGGGTAATCTCCTAAAAACTTAAGATAAAAGACAAAAGAGATTGGGGCAAAATTTTGGATATATCTCAACAATGTAATTACATGGAAAAAATGCAACTAAGCTCTATTCAAAGCATGGAAATAAGGATAAAATGACAACATGCTGAGAATGAGAGAAGGGGGCCAACGATATGAGAACGAAAGATAGGGAATCGACATCAAATTTCGTACACATCAAATTTCACAAATATAGATAACAAACAATTTCTATTTATATATATATATATATGTATGTATGTGTGTGTATATATATATATATATATATATATATACACAAATACATATTATAAAAAAATAGATGAAATAAAGCTTACTGTAGGAATTGTGGGGATGGTTGCTGCTGGTGGAGGAATGCGATGATGGATAGGTGGAGGCTAACAGTGTGGCTGAGCAGTGAGAAGGGAAGTTTTGGTTGAGAGTGTTGGTGAAGCTCATTCGAGTTGGAGGCAGGAAGGAAGCAATCAACATTGTAAAAGGAATATGTGTTCTATTGGGAAAATGACTTATAAAGGTAAATAACTATTTAGGTTGTCCATATATAGGTAATGTTTCTTTTTTTTTTGTACACATTAATTGGACAAAGTGAAGTGGAAGTTGTTTACTCAAAAAAAGGCACTGATTTTGTTATTTGTATTGTATGTGAAAATGTTGATTTGATGTATTAGGGTTGAATGATGTCGTTCATGATGTATAATGGTTGGATGATGTAGTTCATGAATGAAACTTGATTGATATTAGAATGATGTAGTCCACCTGTTCTTGTGTATGCTTATATATGTAATTAAAGCAACAAACTTGTGTTACATGTTTTTGTTTCTGATGTAATGAGTGGAACTTTTGTAATAGAATGAAATATAATTAAACACTGTAATGGTATATAATTAAACATTGTAATGATATATAATGATACATGGGAATGTAATACAATCAAACATGGGAATGTAATATAATCAAATATTGGAATGTAATTAAAGAAAACATTGGATTCCCAGGAAACATTGTTTACAAAAGATGTGCCATAAGTTAGTTTTAACACAGTTACACATGCAATACTACCAAAAGTTACACACAAGATTCCAAAACACATATGACTAGACAAAAGTCCAAAAGCTACACATATAACTAGACAAAAAATTCTCAATCAATGATACCAAATTCTATTCCAATTCCATCGGATTTTCACCACTACTCCCTTGTTTCCCTTCCCACTTCTTTCTTATCTGAATTTCCGTGATTCTTTCTGAAGGTTTCCTTCTTCTCTTTCCCTGTAGAATTTGAAATGTTGGTACTTCTTGCATATGCTCCTGTTCCACTGGATCTTGAACTGCATCTTGTCCTTAGTCATCCTGTCCAACTGGATCTTGAAGTGCAGCAAGTTCTTCACCTTCTTGACCTTTACCATGTCCTTGAACTTTAACTGCAACCTGGTCTTCACCATCTTGAACTTCAACTTCAACCTGTGCTTCAACTTCAACCTGTTCTTCAATCCCTCAAACTACACCTTCACCTTGTCCTTGAGCTTTAACTTCAACCTCAGGTTGATCTACATCTTCATATCTATAACTATCCTCTTCAAAATCAACTTCATAAGACTCCACCTCACTATTAGGCTCTATTTAAACTTCACTATCACTATCACTTGCCACATAAACTTCTTGAGCCAATTCAACCTTCACTTTACCTGTTATGAAATAATTTAAATGTTAGCATTACAAACTGTTATATTGTAATCTAAATGTAAAGGACAACACATACCTTCTATTTTGGATTTTTTTTTACTTTGGTTTTTTATTTGACTTTGGCTGTGGATCAGATGATTCCCTAATTGGTTTTTGAGGACATTTGGTTTTATTATGCCCTGTTTCCCTATAGATGCTGCATCTCATGACCATACCCCTTTTTCAGACTATATGCTTATTGCCCTTTAGTTCCCTCTCAATTTGATCCGTTTTCCTTTTTGTTGATGGTCTTCATGACATCCTTCTCTTTTTAGGAGTCAATGGATTGATGTAATCAACACCAGGCCACATATCACTGCCATTTAGTGGCTTAATGGTGTACATATATGCATTACCAAACATTGTTGTGGTCAACCATGGTGACACATAGTCCTCTGGATCCCTATTGAGGTTTGAAATGGCAGCATATGCATGAACACAAGGGTAACCAGTTAACTGCCAAGCTCTACATGCACATGTATTCTTACCAAGGTCTACGGAATATGCATCATATCCAAGTCTCACTTCAAATTCTTGATAACTAGATGGTACAACTCTCCAAAATCTATCCACACACACATATAAATGTAAGTATAAACAATTGATTGACACACACACACACACACATATATATATATATATATATATATGTAAGTATAAACAATTGATAACTAGATGGTACAACCACTAACCTTTGAAGCGCCTTAATCTTAGACAATTTCAGTCTAATGGAAGGACATATGTGTAAGTCTCCCCAAGAACTTTCCTTACTTTTCTGTGTACAAAGTCTCTCCATAACATAAATTCTAATTTCCTCTAACATAGTGATCAGAGGTCTCTTCCTAGCATCATCAATGACTGAGTTAAAACTCTCAGACACACCATTTTTATATGCATCACATGCCCTATCAGTCTCAAAGAATGTTTTACTCCAATTTTTAGGGTCCCTCTCCATCAAATGATCATAGGCAAGTGATTCTAGCTTCTTGATTTCATTCATATGTTGCTCAAATTTAGCCTGGGTAGTAGAAGTAGCAGTATACCAGAAAAGTTTAATGAACTGTTGCCCTTTAATTTTTTTCAAAAATTTAGCACATAGCCTGACACATTGTCTATGCTCTGCTGCAGGCACCCTTTCTTTGACAGCTGTGACATCCCCGATTTCACGGCCAGAAAAGACCGATTTGTTTATGCTTTGTTTTATAAATCAGAGTATTTGTTTAAAGAAAATGGTTGCAGAATTTGTTCCCAAAACAAGATATGATAAAAACTTATCAAAACATTTCCCAAATAGGATGTATTTTCATTAAATAATAAAACCTCAGGATGTCATGTTCCGATATAGACACATAAGCATAAACAGAACATACATTCATTTACTCTAGTGATTTACATCTCCTTTAATCTCTCAGTGCAAAGCAACTTCGTATCGATACCTGTGATACAATTAAACTGGGTCAGGCTTGGGACCTAGTGCGCATATAGGGTTTTCAATCCACAATAATATAATTATTATATTTAATCATCAAACAATCAACCCAATTACCCATCCCCGTTATCTTCTTTATTTCTTAAGGTTTTACCCTAAGAATCACCTATCCTTTATTCATTCATTCCTAAAATTTGACTTTAAGGAATAGACACGAATTCCACTGTTATTTAAGGCGCATCTACCAACTTTATCATTTAAGCGCCTCTGCCAGGATTACGACATTCACTATTAGGCGCATCTGCCGACCTTATCCTATAAGCGCATCTGCCAGGATTATCCTATAAGCGCATCTGCTAGTATTATGACATTCTCTATTTGGCGCATCTGCCGACATTATGCTTAAGTGCATCTGCTAGCATTATGACATTCTCTATTTGGCGCATCTGCCGACATTATCCTATAAGCGCATCTGCTAAGATTACGACATTCACTATTTGGCGCATCTACCGATATTATTCTTAAGCGCATCTGCTAATATCATTCTTAATCATCTTTCATACCTCATCATTTTATCACATACCAACTATCTCATCTACCCATGTTCTACCCAACATATTTGTAGATATAAAATACATATACAGTTTAACTCATTTAAAAACTATATAAAACATCCATTCCACACTCATCTCAAATAAGCAAACAATGTATAAACACATAGCATGTATTTCATAGCAAATACTTAATATTTATGTGTTAGAAGAAGGTAACTACACACTCACCCAAAACATATACTTAATACATTCAAACAATACTTGTAGTAATATCGTGTTTGTGAAAGGGACTATACACTCACACATATAAACAACTTTATATTATAAACATATCACGTATTTCGTAGCAAATACTTAATATTTATGTGTTAGAAGAAGGTAACTACACACTCACTTGATTAGAAGATGATCGGACAACACTACAACTCTTCAAGTAGATATTCTTCGGTGAAACTAGGATCACTTCACACACCGGGTTTCTCGTGGGTAGAGCTTCGGCTCAGAAACTCTTTTCTTCTCGGGATCTTCAGGCTTCGGGACTTCCTTCGGGTCTCGGGGTTGATACCGGGGCTTCGGGGGGTTAAAATTGCATGTACAACGATGTAATATGGGAGAGAGAAGAGAGATTTGGCAACCACAAACGGCTGCCCCTTCAAATCTATTTATTGGGCTGTTTTCACATTTTCCACGTCGTGGGCACTTCTCCCACGTCGTGGGCTTGAACGTCATTGCATACGTCATCTCAAATTGCATCTGGGGGACTCCCGGAGGTGTCAGAAGACTTGCACCGTCGTGACACTGCTTGCCACGTCGGGGTCTCTGACACAACTTTGGGGTTCGCCCACCGAACTTCAGAAATTCATAACTTTCGCATACAAACTCCGTTTTTGACGTTCTTTATATCGACGCGAAGGTGAGATTATGCTCTACAACTCTCATTTAGACTCCATTGGCTAATTTTGAATTTATTTTTAATATATTATAAGTATATTACTTATATATTATCTTTAGTAGGTCGGTACAGGAAAACTCCGTTTGAAATTCATAACTCCTTCATCTGAACTCCGTTTTCATCTGTCTTTTTATTGTTGGACTAATATCGAAGAAATTGTCACACCCCAAAACCAAGAACGGCGGAAACGTTATGGGGCGGAGGACGTCATGTACAGTGCACAACAATGAAAAGTAGTAAACAAGCAACAACATCATCCATTGCATTAATAATATAATTTTAATACAAGTGTGTTCTGTCAAATTATAATAGACACTAAAGTATAAACAAAATGAAAGATGAGTCTTGAACGAGCTCCATCTTCTCTAAACCTTGCATCGGTACCTATCTATTGATGACCTGAGGATACAAGTAATTTTGAAAGATAGTGTCAGCTTTAAAGCTGGTGAGATCATAAGTATTTTAGTGTCTTATTTTGTGTGTAAGTACTTGTATGTATTTGAAATGTAAGTATTTGTATGAATGAACTGTAAGTATTTGTATGTATACGAATTGTAAGTATTGAAAATGTATATGAACTGTAAGTATAAAAATGTTTGTAAAACAACTGTAAACGTTTGAAAAACCCTAGAAATCCCTATGATTCCTACTATTATAAAAGAGAGTCTTCTACCAAGACCTAACTGCTCTGAATGTAGCCTTCTACCAAGACTTAACTATTCTAAATGTTCGTTTCTTGTAAAAGTGTGTAATTTTCCCAAGTGTAACTATCATTAACAAAATTTAGTTTTTACATTTAATGTTTAAGTGAAAAGATCATTAAATATATGTAAAGGGAAAATTAATGTAGTACTATAGTGTAGTGCTATAAGAACTACTGCTGTACTAACTACCTTAAACAGGATTTATATTAAGGCATCATGTGATTAATTGTACCATACTATCGACTGGGTAACAACGACAAATGTAGGTCGTAAAAAGGTATGACGTTTGGCACCCGCAGACCTGCAGGTCCGACTGTAGCTAGCAGCAAGGTGTAGGATAGTCAATCCAGTATAGATCTATACGCAAACTCACGCTCTCCCTCCAAGAGACTCTGGCTACAACTCGGGCCATGACATTGAAGGCATGCTCCGATACAGTGGATCACAATTTATTAACGTATTCATGTATATGTAATGTATTGTTACTCGTTCTAGTATCGTTGTATATGTTCTCTTTCTAGTATAGTTGTATATGTTCTTCTTCTAGTATAGTTGTATATGTTCTTCTTGTAATGTAATGTATATGCTTTCTATCTAGCAAGTATAGTAATGTACTGTAATGTTCTAGCTGTAATGTATGTGCTCTCTATCTAGCAAGTATTGACTCATGAATGAACTGACTCATTGTATGATATCGCGTTCTAGTAGTAGTTCTAGTATCTTCCTAAACTACCCATATGGTAGCTTACTAGTAATCTAACTGGTACATAAGAACATGGATGTATACCCTTGCTACCAAAGGGCATTGGATGAACTGGAAGGACATTTATGACTATATATGTACACATGATATATAACTAATATTTAACCGACCTTCGGACGGGTACCCGATATCCCACCAGACCACATCTCAAGCGCGAAAAGGAAATAGGGTGGATAGCCTTCCTAAGTCTTTTAAACATTCCTCATATAAATATAAATATATAGGCATGCAATTTATAATATAAAAGCATAAAATAAGTTTTGTAAAACCTTTGAACATAATTAATATCTAAGAAAAGATCGACTTGTTGTCAATCTAGAAAACGGTTTGAAGGCATGGGTTTGATAAAACAGTTTAGTATAAAGAAACATTTGTTTGAAACACAATTGTAAATGAGTTTAAAATGAAACATATAGAGTAAAATGTACAGTGTAATAAGGAGTTTTAAACACATAAAGTGTTTATGAAAAACATTTGAAGTAAACTGTTTGGTAAAACGGCTAATGAATAGCCAATCATTTGAATGCTGATTACTAATCACATGTGATTGATATAGTAACTAGCATGATTCTACTTTTATCCCCCCCATAAAACATTTAAAAACAGTTAAAACATTGATTAAGGGGTATGAACTCACATGTTGTAAGTGGCACGGATAAACTGAAGAGGTAGGACTACTAGGTGTCAAGTGAAGACTTTAGACACACACGATGGTCCTAATTACATATGAAGACATATTTATATAAACAATTAGTGATTATAACACTAATTAAACATGTATAAACATCCTAATGCGAGGAAAACACTTTGGTCAAGTGCTAGGAGGCTAATGGGTTGCAACAAAGGAGTGCAAGACCTCATACGAAAGTTTATGGTCAAAAGACCATGTGTGTTGGAGTTTACGGCCCAGGGGAGTAAACTCCTGGCCGTAAACTCTATATTGGGTCATTAAATGAAGCTTAAAGTTATTACAACTTAAGTGGTGAAGTGCTTCAAGGCTTACTAGGATGTTAGGGCTTCGTTTTAACTCCTTTGAGGAGTTCACGACCTTGGGATCATATCCCTTGGAGATTACAACCATAATCTCCCTTGGGAGGGTGTTTGTGGTGTTTTCAAGTCCCTAAATTAACTAGGAACTAAACTATGCTAGTGTACAAGGCTTTAGAAGAGTTTATAGCACCATTTGGCACTATTGTTTAGAGTTCACGACCCTGGAACTTCTTGGGTCGTGAACACCTTACTCTTGGTGTTATAATGGTGTTTGTTAGTCCTAAACTCATTAGGGTACATGTCTAAATTCAAGCCTAAGCCTTAGGAAGTATTTGTGGCATCAAAACACCCCTAACTTGAGTTTTCGAACCATGGACCATTTGGTCATGTGTTTGCGGCTGTGAACACCTATGGGTGTTGGTATTTTGATTGTTTTGGGTCCTAGACACATCAAGGTAATGTGCTATGCTAGTCTCTTGGCTTAATGAAGGCATTTAGGGCATTTTGGCAACCTAAAATGGAGTTCACGGCCCAAGAACTTCCTTGGCCGTGAACTCACTTTAAACCTTTGATTCTTAATGTTTTGGATGTCTAAAAAAGCTATGGGTAGTCTCAAGGTTCATTTCCAAGGTTTGGAGGGACATTGGGCACACTTTGGCCCTTATAAAAGAGTTTACTCTCCAAGTGTTCTTGGGCGGTAAACTCCCAAATCTTGAGGTTTTGATCCGATTTTGATGTTATTAGGCACAATCTAAGCTATATATTACAACTAGATAGAAGTACTCATGATTTGGGATGAAAACCCGAAGATCTGTGAGAGAGAAAATGGCTTTTCTCTAGTTGGAAATGTAACTAATGAAATAATTATGGTTCAGAATTCTATATATAATCCTGGGATTTTTGGCAGAAAATATTTTTATTCCCAAAATGAACTCTAATATCATAGAGTTTTGGAATAATAGTGTTGCACAAAACCCTAGTGCATCCACTCTCCTGATATCTCCTTGAGTGCAAATCCTGAAAAACTGTCAAACTTATACCCAAAAGTCTGGAAGTTCACTGTAACTGTTCTAACTTCTATTGACTTCATATGGTTTGTAAAGAATGGAAATTTCGGGTTGTCACAGAAATCTTCGACTCTCGTTTAGATCACTAAGGATAGATATCTATCTACCTTAAATTCACTATTTACGTCGCGCTGGGTCGCACTAGGTCATGTCGGTTCTGTCGCGAAACTTCGACATGTCATAACTTCTTCGTTATAACTCGGATTTTGGCGTTCTTTCTATGCACGAAAACCTTATGACATATACTACAACTTGGTTAAGATTAATCCTTCTAAATAATCTTCCATCAAAAAGTCATTTTTGATGCTTATCGTCTCTAATTTGACTAGCCCGGATCTATGGGCATTACAACAGCCTCAAGTAATCCCTGTAAGCATTATAAACAAAACATAAGCTTCATATAAATTGAGGGTTAAATAAAGAGAGTAGATAAAATCATTACTTTGTCTTGGTCTGATATTAATGTCAATCCATGCCCACTTCCCATTTCAATGTCATCAAGGAGAAGGTCAACAAACCACTTCCATGTTTCTTCACTCTCCACTGCAACCACAGCCCAAGCAAGAGGGTAGATATGATTGTTTGCATCCCTACCTAAAACAGTAAGCAACTGACCTCTACAAATTCCTTTTAAGAAGCAACCATATAGTCCAATTACCCTCCTACAACCTTGAATCCATCCATCCTTCACACCCTTTAAACATACATAGAACTTTGAGAAGTAAGTGGTTCCATCAGGCATCACATCTACATCCATCTTCACTGTTGATCCAGGGTTAGTCCTTCTTAGCTCCTCTCCATAGCTCCAAGTTTTAGCATAGTGTTCCTTTAAAGTACCCTCTATATCCTTAAATGCATGCCTCCTAGCATTTCTGCACTGTCCCACACTTGCAATCAAATTAAATCTCTTGCTAGCTTTAGCCTTTAATTTCCTCACACTCATCTTTGGTTTCTAGAGTATCTTATTCATGAAATGATTCCTTATCCATTTATAGCTAACAATGGGCCCAAATTTGAAGACTCTTGAGCAATTATGGTTATCAATTAAAGATTTAATCTGGAATGAACTTTCATTGGTCATCTAGGTTGCCCACAACCTAAAGGGACAACCTTTATTCTTCTTATTCTTCTTACCTTTGCAACATTTCACCAATAACCTGTTATGATCACTTTTTTTATACCATAAATCATACCCATTCTTCACTGCATAATTGGTTACACATAGCTTCAATTGCATTGGGTTAGCAAACTTCATACCTATAACTAGCACCATCTTATCCCATTCTTGTTTCTCATCATGGACAGGGAATACAACCTTATCGTCTATCCCATCATTAGGTTCATCATCATCACTGAGGTTACCAATACCTAAAAGTTTCTTTAAAAAATCGTCACCAATAGTTTTGTTAAAGGTATGGACTTCTTCATCAACTTCATGTTCATATGCCATAATATCATCCAAGTTATCATCTTCATCATTGTCATCCTCTTCTTCCTTATCATCCTCTTCTTCCTTGTCATCCAAATCATACCTGTTACCATCTGATAACACCTCATTGTCAGCCCAATCAAGGATTGGTTCTTTTTGGTGGTCAATGTAGACATCCAACTCAGCTTTAGAAGTATAAGTAGCTTCAACAAACTCCCAATAATTAGCATCACCGTCGATTCTTATAATACCCTCAGTTGAGGTTTCCTTTTTACTACAATAATACACATTATTACAACTTCATTTGGTTAAATCCCTAAGCCACAAAAGAAACTCTTTATATGTAAATCCTCCAAAATCAACATCACGCACTATTATTGTTTCAACGGATTTGGGGCAAATAGTCCCATGTAATGAACATCTATGGTTAAATACTTACCTGTAGATGATGGGGACGCCATCTTACAGTCGACTTCAACATGTAACTTCAACTCCAAACTCTAATCTTCAATTTGATGAATCGATACTAATCAGGAGGTGATTTCGGACAAATTGAACTTGTTGAACCCTAATTAAATGAGAAACGGGTGTAATGTCCACGCTATGCAGTCAATAGCGGTGGGATAGCGGTGAGATAACAGTGGGATAGCGGTTATCGGTAGCTAGTAAAATATCGGTACTAAATAGCGGTACCATAAATAGCGGAGATAGTGACCGATATTTGACCGCTATTTGACTGATATTTGACAAATATCGGTGGGATAGCGGTGAAATAGGGTTTATAGCTAAATTTTTTATTAAGTCACTTCATTTATTATTAAAACGTAGATATATGGTGGGGTTTTTATGAGATTGATAAACATTTGCTTCAAACATTTTCTAATTTACTATACGTTTTACTTAATGACCATGTATTCATCCAATAAAACACAAGGTTACAAAGGCCCTACATAACATAAAAATACCGATGACCCACCGTGATAACCTATATATCGAATATCGTTCATTAACTGATATTTGATTTTGAACCGCTATAACTGTATAGTGTCCACGTAAGAATCCATACATTTCACTTTAACTGAGGTTAATCGATGCTACCGGGTAAAGCAGGTGAAAACATTAATAGCTGGTCATATTACTTAAATGTAAACAAATAAAACAAGTTAGTTTCATTAATGTGTACAAGAAAAAGAACATTACCTATATATGAAGAACTAAAATAGTTAGTTAGCTTATAAATAATTTTCCTGTGTTCTATTTATCATTCGAATTCTTTTTTGGGAGGACACGATAAGATACATTTGGGCCGGGTAAAAGGGTAAACTTGCTAATATCAAACATTTTTAGTCATCCGAGAAGTAACCTCTCCGGTGAAAGGTAAATCAAAGAAGCCTTAAAAAGAAGGAAGGAAAAAGGCTTTACTCTTTAGGCTTTGAAAAAGAAGGTAACAAGCTTTGACTCTTGACTCTTTTGTTTCTTGCTAGTTAATAACGAAAACAAGCTTTCTTTCTTGCAACTTAATAACAAAAACAAGCTGGGACCCTAATTGCTCTCCTGGGCCTTATGTTAGTGATTGGACCTTAATTGCTCTCTTGGCCTTGTGTTAGTGAATTGACATATCCTAATTCTAATAAATAAGTAGAACTCGGCCACGTGGCATTCTCCCAGCCCCCCAAAATAGAGTTTTCCCGCTCATTTTTTCTTCTATATTTACGTAAATGCCATTGAATCCGAAAATTGAATAAAAGTTCAAACTGATGCAATATATCAGGAAATTTTAGCTGTCAACTGCATTCAAAATATTCATGCATTAATTTTAAATGAATAAAGATTATGAAAATAATTTGAAAAAATATGTTAATGAATAATCAGATTCGAAAATCACGATTAAATTTGAAAGTTTGTTTATTTTGATTGCAAATTCAATATATTGCAATCATTAAATCCCTAAAAATCTGCAGTATTTTTCAGCAAACGTAAATATCATTTATACGGTTATTTTGTTTTTACCATTCTGCTCCATAGAAACCACAGCAAACGTATTCTTCTTCATTCTTTGTTATTCTGCAACGCTTCAAGAATTAAATATCAGGTTAGTGTATTCAAAAATCAGAATTACCAATATTTCTATTTCCTCCATGTTCTTATTTATCTGTATCTATCACGTTCTCATTGTATGATTTCTATTCTTCTTCTTTTTTGTAATTCTTCTTAATCGTCTACTTCTTCTACCTTTTCAGTTTAAAAGACGAAAAACTAATAAACATTACAAGTTCATTTTCTTTAAATAAAAATAAAAATAGTCTTTTTAAGATGTGCACAATAACTTTTTTTTATGGTATGAAATTTTAAAATTTGTTTGTTTTTATCTAAATACAATCTCAAAAAAATTTAGAATTTTAAAATTTATGAGTACATTAAGTCAGTTGTTATTGTTATGTGTTGATTTTTAATTTTTCTGTTTTACTCATTGTTATGTTATCTGTTAGTGTTAGTATGTTGCAGGGGCATTTTCGGTATAATTGTCGTTTTCATGTTTATTATATATTTGTGTTCCATCTTATTATATAAACTTTTATTCAATCTAAAACATTATTTCATATGAATTATTTGTTTTTGTTTGTATTCCATTTTATTATAAAATGAATTATTCAATTTAAAATTTTATGAGTACATTAAGTCAGTTGTTATTGTCATGTGTTGATTTATAATTTTTTTGTTTTACTTATTGGTTAGGATGTTCTATACATTTTAAAAGGTTGCTAAATTTCCTTACAATTCTATAATGATTAAATTTATTGCAGAAAATGGAAATAGGAAATAAGGTTTACCTAAATAACATTGACCAGATAGATGAAAAATCGCATATCAAGGTTCGGGTGCTTAAAATTTGGAACTTTGTCAGAAATAATAAAGTTTGTTCCATTGAAATGATCATCATGGATGAGGAGGTTTGTTGTATTTGATATATTTTTTATTCATCATTCAATATTAGACATGTTTCATGAACATAATAATTTTTAATTTTTTTTTAAACAGGGTACACAATCCCAAGCTCGTGTCTTCAATCAGAATTTCTCCAGATTTCGTCATCTTTCAAAGGAAGATGAAAGTTATATAGTTATAAAACCCAATATGGCTGCTGTTACTAATGGTTTTAGTTATACAGGTCATAAACAGACCTTAACTTTGGATTGGAAAAGCATCCTAAAAAAATGTGATGATTTCTCGGGTCCGGTCAATGGATTTATGTTTGTTGACTTTAATTCTATCATAGAACAAACATGCCCAATAGACACATTCTATTAATTTTGTCAATCTTAAAACAACACTAACAATGACATAATTATTTTTTGTTTTAGGTATATAATTCCAATTAACGTACAAGATTGTACTGGAACCATTGGATTGACTCTTTTTGATAGGGAAGCAAGGAGGTTGTTAAATATAAGTGCCTACGAGTTGAAAAAAATACATGATGCGGTATATTATTCATACCTTTAAAATCAGAAAACATTTACTTAATTTTTTTAATTTATTAAAATATATCTTACAGGCCGGAGACAGTGATGCCCTATTTCCAATGCAACTTAACGTGTTGAAAAACCGCAAGTTTGGTTTTGTTGTAGATATTACAGAATACAATGTTAACAACTATAATAACATCTACACAGAGTTACATAATATATGTCCATTGTTTGTGAATTGGAAAGTAAAATAGAACTTATGGTATGTAATTTTTTATTGTTGAAAATTTACAATTCTTTAATGTTAAAGTACATAACGATTAACATATTTCCATTTTATTTTTTAGAGTATTCAATCTGTCTCCTTAAATCAAGTTGCTTTGGAATCCGATGATGTTGTACAGCCTGTTCAAAAGGTTTTTCATTTTATTTTATAAACTTTTAATTATATTAGTTATTTTTTTTAGGAATCAAACATTTTTTTTTAAAAATTAGGATGTGATCTCACAAACAGACGAAAGTTTTACACCCTCAACAGTTGATAAGTCAACCGCAACAAGTCCTTGCAAAATATCAGGTGATTTGAAGCGCAACCTCCAAGAAATTTATGATGTTGATTCTGGATATGATTTAAGTTCAACTAAGGCTAAAAGAAAGTCAACCGCAGAGGAAACTCCACTCTTGATTCCAAAAATTGAAAAGTGAGTTTCTATCGGTTATAAGACACATTTAATATATTTTGATCATTTGTTTTGGTTATAAAGATATTTTAATTGCTTGGTATGATTTTTATTTTGGGGTATTTAGGATGTCAAATATTATTGGTTTTGAATATTTTTGGATACTTTTATTGTTTTAAATTGGACAAGTTAGTTGATTTTGGTTATAACTCAAATAAAATATATTGCCACTAACTTGATAAGTATTTCATATATCGCAATTAACAATTAAGACAAATCAATCAATCAATCAATTTGTATAATAAAAATGCGAAATTCTTAGCTTTCTTCCCCAATTCGCATTCTACTGTAAAATTCACATTCTTCATTCACCCTCTTTCTTCGCATGTTCCAGTCATTTTTTTTTTTTTAAGTTCATTCGCATTTGAGTTGTTTGTCTCACCAAATGCGAAATTAATATTAACCATAATCACCTTCGCATCTTTAACCCCAATCCATACAACCTCATATGTGAAACCCAATTTTGATTTGTATTACCAAATGCGAACATTTTTGCTTTTACACGTGAACTGCATTTGACTCCAATATTGAACAAATCACATTTCACAGTCCTTCTTGACTTCGCATTTTTCTTCACGAATCGTCCCTCAATCAATAACCCAATTAACCCAATTGCGAATCCAAAATCAAAACTTATCTGTTTTCATATGCGAACCCAACTGATTGGCTTTTCAAAATCAAATTCGCAACTCCAAATCGTTCGATTATTCGCCCCAATTCCAAAATCAAATAACAGATCCTTCGTATGATTCATTTAATAACCAAGGCTTCGTTCCAGAAAACATCGAATTTAACAGTTATTCGTTCCCACAATCTTTAACCTCCGTTTAAAATCGATCCCTGTATACAAACCCAATAACGAATCGAACACATACCATTCGAAAACAATAATCATTACACCCTTCAACAGATTTGACATCGCATTTCAAAACAATCGATCTTACTTCATCTGCTTGATATATCGCAATTAACAATTAAGACAAATCAATCAATCAATCAATTTGTATAGTAAAAATATTGCTATATATGTAAAGACCATATTGGCCCTAACTTGATAAGTATTTGATATATCGCAGTTAACAATTAAGACAGATAAATAAATCAATCAATTTGTATAATAAAAATTCGAAATTCTTAGCTTTCTTCCCCAATTCGCATTCTACTGTAAAATTCACATTCTTCATTCACCCTCTTTCTTCGCATGTTCCAGTCATTTTTTTTAGTTCATTCGCATTTGAGTTGTTTGTCTCACCAAATACGAAATGAATATTAACCATAATCACCTTCGCATCTTTAACCCCAATCCATACAACCTCATATGCGAAACCCAATTTTGATTTGTATTACCAAATGCGAACATTTTTGCTTTTACACGTGAACTGCATTTGACTCCAATATTGAACAAATCACATTTCACAGTCCTTCTTGACTTCGCATTTTTCTTCACGAATCTGTTCAAAAGGTTTTTCATTTTATTTTATAAACTTTTAATTATATTTGCTTGTAAAATTTATGTTTGTTGACAAATCAATAACCCAATTAACCCAATATTGAACAAATCACATTTCACAGTCCTTCTTGACTTCGCATTTTTCTTCACGAATCGTCCCTCAATCAATAACCCAATTAACCCAATTGCGAATCCAAAATCAAAACTTATCTGTTTTCACAAGAAGACAGTTTCCTTTGGCTGTATGTTTTGCAATGACTATTAACAAAAGTCAAGGACAATCGTTGTCAAAGGTTGGTCTGTTTCTGAAAGATCCAGTTTTTTCACATGGACAATTGTATGTTGCCTTATCTAGAGTTCAGAGTAGAGAGGGATTAAAATTATTAATTTTAGATAAAGATGGCAAACTCAAAAATAAAACTTCCAATGTTGTTTATAAGGAAGTTTTTCGAAATTTGTAGCCAACTTTTTTGTAACGTCGTTTTATTCAATTTTAGGAAATCACACTTAATCCATCATATTACTGTATTTTTTTATAATTACGTATTGTTGTATTTTATGTTAATTTTATTACACACATTGGTATTGTATCATCTGCATATGTCCAATTAGAATGATGAATAAAAAAAAATAGTTTTAAAAAATCTTCATTCCTAATTAAATACTTCCCATTTAGTTAGTAATTAAATAATTACCAATAAAAAAATTATTTAAATATTAAATATTACAATTTATAAGTTATCAGAATTATTGATATAATATTTTATTAAATAATTAATTTTTAAAATTCAATTCAAAAACAGCACCCGTAGGTTCTATGGGTTTTACCCTAGTACATACATATACTCAATGAGACCGCTTTTTGTTTATTTATTTATTTATTTTTTTCAGATCGCGTAATTAAACCAATACTCTATGAGGTGAGATGCCAAAAACAATTCAGTTTTTTGAAATGCGATAGAACAAATAGTTGCCATAAATCCATTTCTAGTGCTCATCCAAACAAGAACAAGACAAGAAAACGTTAAAGTTTATGATTGTTCGGCCAAAAAATATTCTTCAAAACAAGGTGTTTCTTGAGATTTATGTTGGTTAGGCGGAGCAACCACCAACACTTTCCATCTGTCAATTAACTATTCAGGCTTAAAATGGTGGCAAACTGCCGACAATAATTCATCATCCTGTTTTTCTGTTGGATTCCATGTGTCTTCTTATCTAAGCTAACCAAAACCCTAATCATTTAACCACAAAATCTTTCTTAATTCATCGCTCAATAACTTGCCTGAGAAGCCATGTAAAGATAGTATCAATTAACCGCATGGATTCACAGTCACGAAGAAATTTTTGTTAAACTTGCGATCGAGTTTTTTCGTCAATGGAAGTCAAAGTATGGCTGTTGTTATGGTGTTGTATGTTTCTTTTCATCTTGGAAGTTAATGTGATCTTTGCTGATACTAATCCCGGAGATGGTAAGTAATATGGTGTGATATACCTGGTTTAATCTTAAACCACATTTTCCGGCAACCATGTTTTCATTAACTGATCATGATGACTGCTTATTGCCACCCTAGCGGAGGTGCTCCGAGCGTTGAAAGACCAGTGGCAAAATACGCCACCAAGCTGGAAAAGATCGAATGATCCATGTTCGTGGGAAGGTGTCAACTGTACAGACACCAGGGTGATTGGACTGTCTGTCTACTTTCCCTCATCTTGATTCTATTATTCTCATCTTTATCATTAACATAACTGAAAAACCTTATATAAGTTATATACGTATACAACCCAATATTCATCAAGATGTAAGTTGATATATACACTAATAAAAGAAACCCTAACAAAACCAATGTACGTATTAAATTCCTAGCCTTTTAACAGTTGAACCTTCTTTCTAGGGGCTTGTCGAGTATGAGCTTAGTAGGTCAACTCGTTGGCGACATCGGTGGCCTCTCTGAACTAACATCGTTGTGAGTTCATAACTTTTTTATGATTATGACAATTGTCATTCGTTGTTTGATGTATACATTGGATTTCTAAATTCTAATGATCAAGAGACATTGATAATATTCTGATGTTCACGCCAGGGACTTATCTTTTAATGGCGGACTAACAGGTCAAATCTCTCCGAGGGTAGGAGATCTCGGGAATCTTGACACACTGTAAGTTTATAATTTGTTCCTTCCATCTGAAATTGGAAACATATAATACGTACAAATTAAGATTATTTCATACCCTTAATTGTTAAAATACTTGTATTTTCAGGATTCTATCTGGGTGTAGCTTCACCGGTAACATTCCATCTGAACTTGGAAACCTCAAGAAGCTATCTTTTCTGTAAGAATCTTTGAAACAGTGATCTCTTGATCGATATGTTTTAACTTCTTGACGTAAATAATATGATCCATGCATGATTGATCGATGTATATAGGGCTTTGAACACAAACAATTTGACTGGTCAGATTCCTCCTTCGTTGGGATATTTATCGAAACTTTACTGGTTGGACATCTCGGAGAATCAACTGACGGGATCACTTCCGGTTTCCACTCTCACGAATCCGGGGTTGGATATGCTAAAACATTGTAAACATTTGTGAGTCGACGTCGTTTTGGCTTTCTTTCTTGCTTTATTTGGTGAAAATGTTTGACTGATGATCATGTTTGTGAATTGGCAGCCATTTCAATAAGAACAAGTTATCAGGAGGAATTCCTTCCCAACTTTTCAGCTCCGACATGGTTCTAATACATATGTAAGTTGAACGAACTTGTAAATGCGGATTATTTTCTAGTTAATTAATGATCATGTTCTGAATAAATGAATGTTTTCGATCTTGCAATCACAGACTTTTCGATGGGAACCAGTTAACCGGAGAAATCCCCATTACACTTGGATATGTCAAGACCCTTGAGGCCCTGTAAGTACATATTCTAGAAAATACGAATCATTGTAAAAAACAAACATTATATTTTTCAGTGAAAATACCAAAGCATCAAAGTTTGGTTGCTTTAGCAATGGAACTTTGGTAGCAAAAAGCGAAACCTTTTGTCATTTTTAACAATTCTTGGCTAAATTGACAAGACTTCTTAACTCTAAATTGTCCGAATCTTTGCATTTGTCCATCTTTTTGTATAAACTAAGTAGTACAAGAACTGCCTCGAAAATACATAACTTATGATCATGTTATTTCGTGCTTCAATTGCAACAGTCGACTGGATCGAAACGCCTTGGAAGGTGAAATACCACCAAATCTAAACAACCTCACAAGCCTTGGTGAATTGTGAGTACATATCTTTGTATAATGATAAAAAGATCATACCCATGAAATCAGTTATGGACCTTGACTTTGACTTTTCGTTCTTGCTTGATTACCTACATATAGAAATCTAGCCTACAACAATCTACAAGGAGCTTTGCCTGATCTAACTGGGATGAGTTCACTCACTTATGTGTAAGCAAATTAATTATCAGAAACCAAAAGCTTCCTTTGAACTTTTAGAGTTGGATTAACGACGATCTGACT